TAAGTGGGTTACTTCCAGAATCCCAGTGTAACTTTAGTTCGCCTCGTAGTAAAACAATCTCATGGCTATGTCTTGCAGCAAAAACAGCAGGAATCACTATAAAAATGTCTCCACAGTTGAGCATCTGAACTTGTCAATAACAGAATTCATTATACCTCCTGACAAAATCTGCCCCTCCACTTCTCTTCTTTGGAAGCGGGGTGAAAATACCATTCATGCAGTCCCTCAGAACTAAATGAGAAAGCATCCTAGAGGCCTTCTTCTCCCTTAATCCCAAACCTAATCAACAGATCCAGACAATTTAATCTCCCAAATAATTGCCAAATTTCTCCTCTCCTATCCTCATTCCTACCACCACTGCTCTGGCTATTCAGTCCCGTATCTTCCACCTATTCATTACATATCTCATACCTGTTCTCCTGGCCTCCAGTTATGCCCCCCATCAAACCATCTTCCAGACTGTAGAGACAGATCACTCTTTTGAAAGCAGTAATAGCAATGCTGCTCCCTTATTTAAAACCCTTCAGTGGCATCTAATCACCTACACAGAGTACAAAGTCCAAACTCCTAAGGATGTCCCACAAATCCTTCTATAATCTAGCCCCTTCCTCGCTCTCCAGTTTAGTCAACTTCTTAGACCATTTTATTTCTCTGTGCATTCATTCACGTTGTGCTCTTAAGCAGCCTCCTCCACTATCATCAAACTTCCCTTTACCTGCCTACCTCTTACTGATTATAACAACAAATGAGGTCTTTTCTGGTCTCCCCCAATATGATCAGATGTCCCTTCCGTGTCTGCATCATACCTTTAGCATATCTCTATTATTACAGTTAATTATGTTAATAATTATTACATGATAATTATTTAACTATGTCTGTTTCCCCTAATAAAGTATAGTCTCTTTGCGGTCAAGGAATGTGCTTGCCCAGGCAGAGCGGCTCACACCTGTAATCCCAGCACTTTGGGAGACTGAGGCAGAAAGATCACTTGAGCCCAGGAGTTTAAGACCAGCCTGGGCAACATATGGAGACCCCATCTCTATAAATAAGTAAATATATAAAAATTAATGGGGCATGGGGCATGGTGGCACACACCTGTGGTCCCAGTTACTTGGGAGGCTGAGGTGGGAGGATCACTTGAGCCCAGGAGGTTGAGGGTACAGTAAACCATGATGACACCACTGCACGCCTGGGCGATAGGGTGAGACTTCATCTCAAAAAAAAAAAAAAAAAGAAAAAAGCAATGTGTCTTATTAGTGTTTTTATATGCGGGTTCTGAAACACTGCCTGGGGCCGGGCACGGTGGCTCATGCCTGTAATCCCAGAACTTTGGGAGGCCAAGGTGGGCGGATCATTTGAGGCCAAAAGTTCAAGACCAGCCTGGTCAACGTGGCGAAACCCCATCTCCACAAAAAATAAAAAAATTAGCTGAGAATGTTGGCACACACTCTATAATCCCAGCTACTCAGGAGGCTGAGACATGGGAATTGCTGGAACCTGGGAGGCAGAGGTTGCAGTGAGCCAAGATTGCACCACTGCACTCCAGCCTGGGCAACAGAGCGAGACTCTATCTCAGAAAAAAAAATAAAAATAAATAAAACAGTGATTGGAAATAATATTCAATAATTGTTTAATAAATAAATATTCCTATACTATATTAAAACTCTATAAAAGCATTTGATATCATTTGTGGTAACAGGTGGTAGAAACTATTTATCAGGGTAATTTGATTACTTAGGAAAATTGTGACAAGAGATGGTGGTGCCGTGAGTCACTGCTCCTGGGCACCAAAATGATGCAAGTTTGTATTACTCAAATGAATTGATATGGACACAGATATGGTCACAGTTCCAAGAGGAACCTTTATTCAATCCTCAAGAAATATTTTTTGAGAGACTTGTATGAGCTGGGCTCTGTTTTATGCACCGGGAATATAAGTGAACAAAACAGACAAGTTCAGCCAGGCGCAGTGGCTCAGGCCTGCCATCCCAACACTTTAGAGGCCGAGGCAGGATTGCTTGAGCCCAGGAGTTTGAGACCAGCCTGGGCAACATAGTGAGACCTCATCTCTACAAATAAACAAAATTAGCTGGGCATGGTGGTACGTGCCTGTGGTCCCAGCTACTTGGGGGGCTGAGGTAGGAGGATTTCTTGGGCCTGGGAGTCTGAGGCTGCAGTGAGCCATGATCACGCCACTGCAGTTCAGTGTGGACAACAGGGTGACAGAGTAAGACCCTGTCTCCAAAAAAAAATCCCAAAAAACAGATAAAGTCACTGCCCTCATGGCACTATTATTTTAATGGGAGGAGATAATTAATAATCAATAAGCAGTAGTTTTAGATGATAATAATCACTACAGAAGAATAAAGCCAGGTGCAGGGCTTACTTTACATTGGATGTTCAGAGAAGGCTTCATTCAGAAGGGAACATTTGAGGTGAAACCTGAAATAACTTGGAGTCACTTATGTAAAAATCAGGAGGAAGAGGGTTCCACGTGAGCACATTAGCCCAAAGGTGGAAATGAGCATGGCATAATCAAGCCATCAAACATGGACAGGTTGGCTGGCATAGTAGGCGAGAAGAAGAATAGTATAAGAGGAAAGAAAGGTAAGGGCCAGATTATGTAAGGTGTACTGGGCCACATAAAAGTGTCCGAATTTTACTTTTAAGTGAAGTAGAAAGTCATTAGAGGATTTTAAGTGGGGAAAGTATATAAAGTTCACTCTCCCAGTTCTGTGAGGAATGGATCACAGCAGGTGGGTAAAAGTGGAAAGAGGGAGATCATTTAGGAAGCTACTGCATTGAACTGACCAAAAAAATGCTGACTTGGAAAAAATGTTTCCTTTCATGAGGGTTAATCAGAATAATGTAAATTAACTGCTAAATTCAGTGTCTGGTATATAAACACTCAACAATATATTATACTATTATTATTAGTTTATACCTACAGAAAACTCTTCTTATGCAACATGATATGAACATCAAAACCCTTGAGACAGTAACTTGGGAGGTATACAATGACCACATACCCAAAGTTTAAGAAGTAGAACTCTATTATTTATTTAACAAAATGTGTTGAGGATCTACACTGTGCAAATTATAAACTGTTTTGCTGAGCCAGTATGGGGAAACTAGATTAACAGATCAGTCATCATAGAATACTAGACCTGGAAGGGATCTAGAAGAGTTCGGCCCCTCACTTTACAAAGGACAAAAGAGCAGCCCAGAGAAAGAAACTGTGGTTCCCCCTAAACTAAAAAGTGATAGGATCATACCTTAGGTTGCCCCAAGGACACACTTTGAATAGCTAAAGATTTTCATTAACAATATAAAACCACAAGTTTTAAATAAAATGCTATCTTAGCAGTACATTAATGTGCTATACTAAGAAAAATGTAATATGTATATAAAGCCCTGGATACAGTGCTTTGTACGGGGTAAACACTCAATAAATGGTTACTACCACTTTCAGCAGCTAAGAAAAAAGTCTGTTTGGTCTTTGGAAGGCTGAGAGCGAGTGGTCTACCTGACATCAACTCCCTGACTTGATGATAGTAAAGCCACAAGAATTTTAATCTAATTCAATTCTTTGATTTTCCAGATGGAAAAAGTGAGGTCTAAAGGGGCTAAATTCAGGAGTTCAAGGCTGCAGTGAGCTATTATCATGCTAGTGCACTACAGCCTGGGTGACAGAGCAAGATCTTTTCTCTAAAAAATAAAGAAAAAGCCAAAATCATAATAATAAAGGGACTAAATGACTTGCAAAGCCACCCACAGTGAATTAGAGACAGAGAGAGAGCCAAAGCCAACCCACATATAGTGGGTTTCCACTATATATCACAGATCTGCAGTTTAGCAATAAGGTAGTGTTTCCAACTTTTATAAAAGGGTAACAAGAACATAGCTGCTGTACTGAACTTTTTCACTCCTTTTATTAAGGCCACCAGTGAGCTATGAATTTGACATAAGGAAGAATCACACCAACAATCAGACCGTCAATATATAATTCATGAGTTAACAACGAAACAGTCTTAGGAACGCAATTCTATCATGGACACCTGATGAATAGATGAGAGTTCACCTGAGCAGCTGTTATATGCACTTCAGTAGAGAGACTACAAAGCCTCTCTACTTGTAGAATACAAATACAAAGAAGATGCTTTAAAACATTTTCCAAAGCACACTTAAAATGTGACAATAGCTGCCGGTCACTAAGAAGCTAAACGGAGATAAACTCTCTCGGCATACAGCAACAGAATGGTTTATTTTAAGCAAAGACTAAAAGGAGTCTAATAAAATTATTGGGAGACCAAGGCTAAAAGCCACAAATGCAGGAAGAGTTGTAGCAACCAATCCAAAAGAGTTTAGCCTTTCACAAAGAGTAGAAAGGCCCGCTGCGGACTGTGGACTTTCAGGTCCTTTTGCATTTAAGATTAGGGTGGCCTTCCCCTAGCCTCGAAATAAAAAATCGTCTCTGAAGCGGAGAGACAACGAGGCAGGGCATGAAGAGGAATCCAATCTATTTCTTGTAAATTAAATTCAACTCAACAAATATTTCCTGAAAATCTACTATATGCAAGACATTGTGAACGATGCTTGCCTTACCTCAAAGGCTTCAAAATTTTATGGGATAAGGGAAGAGAATGGGCTTCCCGGAAGTACACAACCCAAGGCCGAACAGAAGCGCCGTAAGAGAGGTGCCGCACGGTCAGGGTTATCGGTTCAAAAGCAAGAGGACATTGGGACTCAAGAGTTTAGTCTCCCAAAGTGAGAGAAGTGGCATTCAAGATAATTGCTGAAGACAAGACAGAGATATGGAGATGAAAGGTAGGAGAGTAGGTGAACTTTAGGAAGAACCAAGAGAGGCCAACTCCCGGTTCCTTCACAACTGCCAGTTTCCTCCCGCCCTCAGCGGACGTCACGCGCACCCCTGTCGGAGGGCAGGCGCCACGGTTCCGGACCAGACCTACCCCTCCTCTATTCTCCCTGCCCTTTCTCACCTCGGTCCAAACTCCTCGGTCCGCTCTGTCTGAGAAGAGAAGAAGACAGTGCCGTCGGGAGTGAGCCCCAAGGCCCGCAACTTAAGAGCCCTGTCAACCCGGGAGTCACCGGCGGCGGCCAGGCCGCATCTCCATGGCAACGCCACCAAGCGCCAGTTCGAACGCCCGCGCTGTGGCCCGCGCGTCGCCACTCCCGCACCACCCACCAATGGGCATCCAAGGAATCGGTTGACGTTCGTTGACTTTTCCTCTAGAAGACCAATCAGAGGTCTGAAGAAACAGCGGGCGTAGTTCTCAATTTCCGACCTTCAGCCAATCGTTCGGCTTGAGGGAAGATCTCGCGACGTTCTCCGTGTGAGACAGGCACCCTTGAGGCGGGTCGAAGAGCCTTCTGCCAAATTCTATTGGTAGTCCCAAGCGCAACCAGGCTCTTCTGATTGGCCGGTGTACTTCCAATTTCCGTCCAAGATCCGCCTCCTGCCTCCCTCTGCTTCTGGTGAGTATGCTTAGGGTCCACTTGAATTTAGTTCTTAGTGGAGGAAATGAGCCTTGGAGCGATGGGAATCTGCTTCCGGTCTCTGCAGGGCCCGAGATGGATGTGCCCTCCTTCAAGTTGGCAGTGAGGTGTGGGCAGGCCAGGTCCCATCCGCTCTCAGGACCTCAGTTTTCCTGTCTGCACCGGGAGAAGGGAGGTTCCCTGACCCTGTGAACCTTGGTTGCCCCCGTCCGAGTGGGGATGGGATGGGTCGTCCAAATCCCAGAGGCGGGAGAGGTCCAGGTTTAGGGCCTAGAGGCCCTGGCGCCGACCCTGACCCTCCCTGGGCCTCAATTTCACTTTGTTGTTACCTGTTAAACCCCGCCTGCTTTCCAAAAGAGATTTTATGTTTTCTAATTGCTTCAATTATTGAATGGGTAATATCGTGGCAGTTATAGCAGAAGTAAAGAAAGTCGAACGAGAACCCCACCGCCTTAAAAAAAAAGAATTGACAGCTTAAACTGAATGCAGGCCGGGCGCGGTGGCTCACGCTTGTAATCCCAGCACTTTGGGAGGCCAAGGCGGGCGGATCACGAGCTCGGGAGATCGAGACCATCCTGGCTAACACGGTGAAACCCGGTCTCTACTAAAAAAAAATACAAAAATTAGCCGGGCGTCGTGGCGGGCTCCTATAGTCCCAGCTACTCGGGAGGCTGAGGCAGGACAATGGCATGAACCCGGGAGGCGGAGCTTGCAATGAGCCGAGATTGCGCCACTGCATTCCAGCCTGGGCGACAGAGCGGTACTCCGTCTCAAAAAAACAAAAAACAAACAAACAAACAAAAATGCAATCAAATTGTCAAATGTAAAACGCTGTTATAAAGTCGAGGTTAAGATGAATGATGTTAGGAGTCAGGCAGACCTACATTTGAATCACTACCCAGACATCTCTGAGCCATAATTCCCTTTCTACTCCTCTGAAAAATGGCAGTAATGCCTCAGCGGGTTGTTGTGAAGATTAAGTGAAATAATGAAGGTAAAGCACTTGACACAACGCCTGGCAAGTAGTAACTTCTTAAAAAATGGTAGCTATTATCTTTATAATAAGAACAGGCAAATACACTGGTCAGTGGGTTGGTGTACTTACTGTAATTGAGTACCCAATTTTGACCAAAATTAGTCAGTTAAGGGAAAAAAGGTAATTCTTACTAATAAGGAAACAAATCCATTCTTCAAAAGATAAATTATTTTTCTAGTTTCTATATTAAAAGGAATTTATTCTGTGGGTCCTTATAAGGAATATATATACTGTGGTGAACAGTGTTCAGCAGTTTTACAGACAAAATGAAAAGTCATTTCTTTACAACAGAGAAGCTTTCTGATGATCTTTTATGACACATGGATAAGAATAACTCATATATTTAGTACTTCTGATAATGTCAGACCCTTTTTCTATATATATCATTTATAAACTCCACAACAACCATGAAAAGTAGGTGTTAACTTCGTTTTACCAATGAGGAAGTTAAGTATCTTGCTCTAAGTAACAACTATTAACTTCAATAGCTAGGCCTTTCTGACTGCCTAGACAGCCATGCTTTTCTGTGTTTCTGATTAAAGGAGGATGAAAATGCTTGGAATACCAGATAGATGCAGGGGCAGGTTGGACAGCTTGACCTACCTAAATTGGAGGGAATGTGGGCTGCCGAGGTACCTATGGTAGGAGCTATATCTTGCTCTAATAGAAAATTTTCACCGTGGTCTTGGTAGAGAGGGGAGGAGAAAAAAATTATTCTAATAAAAATGATTTTAAAAAAGAAAATTCCCACCTTGGGAAATGAAGAGATGGGATGAGAGGATCACTGAACTTTAGACACATCTGTTCATTTATCTTATGGGTAGACTATAGCACTTCTAATTCAACTTTTCCCGAACAAATGATTCACTTGCACCCCATCTTCCACCCAGGCACTCAAACCAAAGCCTTTCTCTTTCTCTTGGCTTATGAAACATCTCTCTGTCCCTTAGACAATGAAATATCAATATTGTCCATTTTACTTTGAAATATCTCTCAGATTCATCCCTTCCTTTCCTTTCTCACAGCCTCTGCCTTGATCTAACTAGAATCATTTGTTAACTGGTCTGTTGCAGTAGACTTGTAACTGGTTAATCTCTCTGCTTCCAGTCTGTCCTATTCATTCCCCACCTTGCTTGCAGCTAGAATGTCTTTGTAAAATGTCAGTCTGACCAAATTATATCCTTGCCTAAGACCAGTCAGAGGCTTCATTGCCTACAGAATATAAACTAAGCTATTTACCAGTGAGATGTCATTTTGCACTTGAGGGTGTTGCCCACACTCCTCCCTTTGCTGGCAATGCCTTGCATCTGCCTCCCTTCTGCCTGGTAAACTAACGACCCATCAGAATCCTTATGGGGTACCGTGTTAACCTAAAGATGCTTCTTTGCTGCTTTTCCATCTTATGTTGCACAAAACACACTGTAACTTGTCTGTTGGAATGTCTTCCACTTTCACTAGTCTGTTAATCTCTAGGAAGTTGGTGCTTTGTAGTATTCAGCTTCATATCTGTCAATCCTTCACACTGTCTGTCGCATGGGATACACACAACAGACATGAGATGAGTCAACAAAACCCCTTTAGGGTTTTTGTTTACTCCTAAAGGCTTTTGAACCCCTAAAGGCTTCAGGCTTTAATGTTACAATTCCCCAAGTTAGCTTTCTAGAATTGTACAGCAGATGGCAGTAATAGGCTGCTTAACAAATCCCCTTCATTAAGAATGATTTTTGTCCCAACCTTGTCTGACTTTGGCCTTATCCTAGAAGCCAATATTTATGCCATTATAGGTAAAATCTCCTGTTTTCTCCCTCAGCCAACAGCAAAAATAGAAAAATGACTCAGCAGCTTCATCTCTGCAAGAAGAATAGAGTGGCAGTTGTCCAGGGAAAAGTGCATTTGAGGGAATATTTTCTTTGTCTCAATTTATTCATGGTAGTTGGGGCTTTTCTTTTGCATTTCTTTTTTTTTCCTTCTCTTCCTTTTGTTATTGTTCTCACAAGAAAGAGCTTTACTCATGGGTGGCTGCCTCATTTCTGTCCACTCCAAAAGGGAAGAAAGAAACTGGCAAATTGGAGAAAAGATGATTATGATGTGGGAGGTGAAGGAGTAGTCACATAGAATTGCAGTCACATAGAACTGCTTGTGGGCAGGCAAACAGTTGGCCTTCCTCCTCATTTGGAGGAGGGCCTGGGCAAATTTTCTGGACACTAGTGCCCTAAGTTAAGTGGAACATGTGGTTTTAGGTTCCTGCTTCCCAGAAAAGAGGAGAGGAGGCATAGAAACCCTTATGAGACAGGTGCTATTAGGAGCCTGAGGCTACATTTTACCCCTCCTTCAGAGTCTCCTTCGGATACAGGACTTAATGTCTACGGCCCTCTCCCCCCAACTAAAACCTTTTTGGTGGAAATGATCCCAGCTTGACATCTTAACCTCCAAATGAATACAGATTAAAGACTGGGAATTTGGGGCCAGGCACGGTAACTTGCACCTGTAATCCCAGCACTTTGGGAGGCCAAAGTGGGAAGATCGTTTAAGGCCAGGACTTCAAGACTAGTTTGGTCAGCATAGCAAGACCCCATCTCTACAAAAAAAGTGTTTTTAAGATTTAGCCAGTTGTCATGGCTCCTGCTTGTAGTCCTAGCTACCCAGGTGGCTAAGACAGGAAAATTCCTTGAGCCCAGAAGGGATGCAGTGAGCCCTGAGGCTGCAGTGAGCTGCGATCATACCATTGCCCTCCAGCCTGGATGACACAGAGAGACCCTATCAAAAAAAAAAAAAAGACTGGGAATTTTGAAACTGGAAATGATTTTATAAATCATTTGTATCTGTCCTCTCTCAGGGCCATTTGTGTCCTAAGCCCTACTCTTTCATGGTGAACAGAGCTATGATAGGGACAAAAATTATAGACTTTGGAGTTACTTACTTAGATTGAGATCCCACCATTTACAGACCAGCTATGCCCTTGTGCAAGTATTTTAACCTTTTAAAATAATATCCTTGTAAACTAGATACAATAATGCTTCTCTTGAAAGGTCGTTTTGAGCTTTAGAAACAATAGTTGTCAAAAGTCTTGCACAGTATAGCTGGCACAGTATATATAGATGCTTAATTGATAACACGGCATGAAATGCTGTTTTTGCTAAAGGGATATTAGACTATGGAGAACAGGTCAGAGGGAAAATTTGGAGAGCTCTACCTGAACCTAAAATTACATTTCTGAGGGCTTTTTACAGTTACTCTGATTAATTTGATGAAAATATTGAAACAAACAGCATAGCCATGTATTTGTAAATTCTTTTTTTGGTACCTAGGTCCCGAACCTCCTAGGCTCTTAGGGAATTGTATATATGGAGAAAGCCAAGAATATTTTTCCTTAGCTTCTGGAACCTTCTGATGACATTGAGGGTTTTTTGGTTCAGGTTTTTTCTAACCATCTCAGGCACTCTGCCACTTTTTTGAAGTGTGAATTGCCTGCTGTCAGCCTGGAGTTCTCACCTCCGCAATCCTGGCTGCAGGCATATTTGCATATTGGATGCTGTGTTCTTTAACCCCCTGAGGTTTGAATCCACTTGGAGTCTGTGTGTGAAAGCTGGCTACTTTCAAACCCGTGGACAGTTTCAGCTTTGTAGTCTCCAGAAAAACA